GACGTACCCAAGAGGCAACAGCGCGATGCGGCGTCTGAATTATCCATGTACAGCTGCTTGGTCCACAGCCGTGCAAGGTAATTTGGACCCGTCGGACCGTGAGCTGAGGGCTGTAACACGTCGGCCAAGGGGAGGGCCTAAGCAAAAGCTGACTGGACCAACAAGCCGCCTGGAGTGACGATACCCCTAAGTTGTTTGTAATCCGAGGAGACGGGATGGAAATGACAGTGGTGTGTTCTATTCACAGAGGGCTTCTGGATTAGTACTGGAAAAGAAAGTTCGGGGCTCTATTCGAATACCACGTTGCTTAAGCTATGGTGTCCATGCTCTGGTGCTTATATTCATGAAATAGCTGTAGAATAGCTCCCAGTGCACTTAGACTTTCGAGTCTAACAGTCAATGTGATTTTGTTCTATCTAAAGCAGGCGACAGGCCAGCTTAAGATACGAGGACATGGCAAGAGCCCCGAGGAAAAGGAAAAGGTTTCCCAACAACTGAGTAGCGGGCTTTGCTGTACAATTAACTTGTTCAATGATTAGAATTACCCGCGAGGAACTAGATGATCGCGTACAACGAGCCCGGCGTGAGAACGCATCCCTATCCCACGAAGAGTCGCGTAAGGAAAGACATCTTCGTAACCAGAGGCTTCGTAGCGCAGAGGCCCGCTACCGCAAGGCAATCCAAGAATTGGAGCAGCTCGAGTTAGCTGAAACCCCAGCACCAACTAAATCCGGACATATGAGAGCTTCTGGTCCGGTGGTAGAGCGTGAGGAGAAAACGGAAGAAGACGATCCTGCGGAGCATCAATGACGATTCGAGGAGGAGACGCGTCGCAACAGGCAACACGATACCCACGACGTTCAGATTGGAATGTCAGGACCTACGGTCGACGATAGCGCAGCAGCTACACGTGCGCGTGATGCAGAAAAAGCCCGCGTCAGGCGAGCTGCTATGACGAGTTCACAAAAACAACGGGCACGAGAGAAAGACGCGGAGAGAAAGCGCATACGCAGAGCTAACAGATCCGAATCCCAGGTTATTCGAGATCGGGACCGAAATGCCGAACAAGCGAGGGTCCGACGGGGTCGACTGGAGCCAGAAGGCCTCTCAGTTCATCGAGCATATAGCCGCGACGCGCAAGCCAACCACAGAGCCAGAAGACCAGAGGAGGCCAGTCAAAACGCAAGGATTCGTGATGCAGTGGAACACGAAGTTCGCAGGGAAGGCATGTCAGATGAGCAGCGTCAATCCGAGCGCGATCAGAATACGGCTTCACGGAGAGACCACAGAGGGGACATGACGGATGATCAGCGTCAAGCAGAGCGTGAGTTGAACGCAGCCGCTCACAGAGCTGGCAGAGAAGCCATGATGGAAGAACAAAGGGAGCTGCGAAAAGAAAAAGAGCGGTTCCGCCGGCGGTCTCGGCAGTATAAGAAGGGCCTCGCAAAACACGAAAGTTTTGACCCTTCCAGAGTTTCCGGGGGCCGTCACTACTTCACGCGCTACACAGACGCCAATCGGGAGAGCGAGCGGGTTTGTCACTACTGCAACGCTTGGAAGTTTCCGCAAGAGACAGATGGATGCTGCTGTCGTAACGGACTGGTGTTCGTTCCATCTTCGCGAACAGCACCTGATGCGCTTCTGACACTTTTCGAAAACCCGACCTTCATGCGGTCAAATCGGGCCTACAACGATGTATTCGCGTTTACGTCCATGGGAGCTTCGCGGTCTCGGCCTCTAAGCGTTGACGAAAGCGTGACACGGAATGGTGTCTACAACTTCCGTGTACAAGGGTCAGTGTGTCATCGCATGGGATCGTTACTACCTCCTACCTTCGGTTGCTCCATGTATGCCCAAGTTTACTTTAACGATCCAGATATGGATGCACGTGTGCGAAGCCGTATGAACATGACGCAAGGCCTCGATCGTGCCGTCATGGAAACAATTGACCAGATGATGGTGGC